ACAAATATGAATATTTTAAGAAAAATGATATTGAAGAGGGAAAAAAATGATGATTTTGAAGATATTTATAACGTTATAGCAACGGCAGTTAATATGTTTTAATTTTGTTTATGTAACGCGAAAGTGTTAACGTTTAACTTTAAAATATATTTTGTTTCATATTTCAGTATGATTTTTCGAAATATAAAAATTAAGAAATAGTTTCTTTCTCATAATACAAAGGAAAATAGCTCTTTTCTCATAATACAAACGAACGAAAATGCTGTAACGCACTTATTGTTATAAAAGTTGCTACAATCTATTTGTAAGAGAAAACTGAATGTGTGTTGCCATCAAGTTGCTTGTAACCGTTGATGATAATAAAAACCGGTAATTTAATAAGTAAAATCGGAATCCACTTTCCTCAATATTATGAACAATTTAAGCAATTTTCAAGCATATGAAGCATATTGACAACAACCTACAAGCAACTTAATATCTGAAGGTATTTTGAATGCGATCCACTTAGCGTTGCAAATATTTTGAAATATTTGATTAACAAATCTAAAGAATTGTATTAAATGACTAATTAAAAAATGCTTCAAAACATTTGTAGTATAAACTGGACCATGTTGTCGGACAAATCATGTTGTCAGCGCTTATGTTATCAATACCTGCATTGTCAGTAAAAAATTTTAAATGTCTTGATAATTCCAGTGCGATAGAAAAAGAAACTTGGGACAAACATATTTGAACGTCAGTGTCTCAGTATCGTTTCAAATGCCATCGCGACTGAATCAAGAAGCGTGTTTACTTCTTTTAAGATACAAGAAATAAATCTGAGCCTTGTACATAAAAACTTTCATTCACTGTGGTGAGTACATTTGTTTTTTTTTATATATGTATATATATAATTTAAGTAATACTATGCTCTCTTAAAATAAATATACATTCATTATATTTTAACAAAATTAAATATATTTATAATTAAACTGTTATTGATCAAACTACTTATGTTTCATGTGATATTGTATGGACTCATAAAAAATTAACATCGTAAAACATGACACTCATTAAAGTTTTAATTGTTTTACATGTGTATATTTCTTTGGTGAAAATCAATTTATGAATTTCAATTTTAATTTCGAAAGATTTATTAATGCATTTAGTTACTAATATATTTGAAGGAAATACATTGAAGAATATCTAAAAAATTCCATTTTTCGTTTATGCTATCTTTATTTATGCAGATACAATATATTTTACATTATACAATATACAGGGTGTTTCCAAATTAAATGGCAAAACTTCGGGAGCGTGTAGAGGAGTAAAAAACTAAGAAAAAAAGTCCTATAGACATATGCTCCTTTTTGCTTTGTTTCGCAGGAAATCACGAAAAAAGAAAAAAATATATTTAATTTATT